CACAGTGATCTGCCCCTGTGCTGAGCCTTGAAGCTGCTGATGTCAGCAAGGCAGAATGTCAGTGCATCCAGTGCTGTGATAAGGTCACCTGTTGGGGTTTTCCCATGTTTTTTTACTAAAACAACCTTTGTGTACAAGAAGACTGATAGTTTGGATTTGCATTTTGGATTTCTTGCTGCTCATTTAATTGCCCTCTCCTAACCATTTATGGAAATTCAGTTGTATCTGTTCTCTTCTTTGAATTAAGTCTCTCTCATGTCTCAGAAAAACCTCAACTCTCCCTTTCTTCCCAATACTGTTTGTAGGAACTTCTTAACACAGCTAGTGGGGTTTTGCTGGCTGTTTGAGAATAAGCCGTGAATTAAACTGGTAGAGTTGTGTGTGGTGTTTATAAATATATATATCTCTAGTCAATGCATTAAGCTAGCTTTTTAGTCCCATGTACTGTTAGACATTCATCTTTAATGGTGATTTCAGTCTTTTTCAATGTTGTTTATGGTGTCATGGACCAGAGATACTCTTCATCTGAAAACTCTCCTTCTAGATTTTAAATGTTGGTGGTTTTTTTTTTCTTGTGAATAGAAGAGAGAATAAAATATATCTTTAATTTCTAAATGTGCCAAAAGTTAATCTGTGCTTAGGTATAGGTTGGATTTTTTTTCATATACTGCTGTTATAGATTATAGATTCCTTTGCTATCCTCGTAATAGACTCTGGAAGCCACTGGAAAAGCCCATTTGTGCAGCAGGGGTGCAACAATTAACTGCTGTGGCAAGGCTTGGTTTAATGACCTCAGTGTTAGTAAAACAGAAGTCCAAAGGTGGATTCACTCTGTCGAATGGATCCTTGTGACTTTCCTCATAACTTCTGGAGTAAATGAGGCATTGACAATGTTTTAAAGTATGTAGTACCTAGAATATAATTAAGACACTGATGTTAAATGGCTTTTCTACGACTTGACAAAACTGCTGATCAGAAAATTGAGACAAATGTTTCACTAGCCTGTAGAAGCTGATCCACTTTGTGTTTAAGAAGTGCAGACCGGTTGCAATAGAGTGGCAGCTCCACTCAAAAGACTTTTCAGGAACTTTTTCTATGCTAGAAAAGATTGAGACCCAGTGAAGAGGCATGAGCTGCTGTGACATGTTTGTTGCAGAAATGCCCTCTGTCAGACTGATGTAGTCTAACTGTGGCACGCGGGTTCAGAGAAATGAAGCCACAACACTTCTTGGGGAATTAACTAAAAGAACTTTTTATTAATGGAACAGAAAACACTTGGGCTGATCAGCCAACTTAGGGGAACATAAGGAGAAACTAAACTGCACAGTCAACAAGGCTCCTACCTTTTATAGGGTAGGGGCAGGGAAGGCTCTGGAACAAGAGGCAGAGCTTAACTATATAAGGAAGAAATGCCCACATAAGGCTGGGACTGCAGTGCAGCACCACTGGCCATTAGAGACGCAGGATTTGAGGGTACTGGGAAAACAAGGGAAAATGGGGGGTACAATGACGGGAAATAATACAGTACATAATGCAATAACATAACACAAAACTTAAAACAAGTTTTCTCAAAAACCAGCTCCCAACGTATCCCCTTCCTTTATTTTCTAAAAAAGGCAAAGTTAGTGAAAGTTAGATAAGAGATAATTTTTAAAACATGCTAAAATATATTTATAAAATCAAATTCTTGACAGGTTTGTACAGTACTAAGAAATAAACTATTTAAGAGGGTTATAAGGAAAACTTGCAATGTAACAGATTCATAAGGTTTCAGAAGTAATTTAACAAAATTTAAGATAATAAATTAGTATTAAGTAAGGCATAAACAAGAATATCATTCTTCTAAAATAATAAGGACAAGAACTAAAATTACTTATAATAGTAAAACTAAAAATCTCAAAAATAAATTTTACCTGCTCCATACCAGAAAGACAGAATTTACTTGTTAACTCTAGGTGAACTTGCTTTTGTTGCTTCAATGGTGGCTACTCTGTTATGGATTATTTTTTCTCTCCATCAACATCTAATACTCACTATTACTAGTAAACCACTCTTTGATCTTTCTTCTTTTCACTTCCAATTGCCTCCCCTCTTACCGACAATCGACTTACAGAAACTTTCTTTTTATGTACATTTCTTTCTATTCAGTTCTTTTCACTGATCACATTTATAAGGTCTTTGGCTACCATTGATGCAACTACGACAAGTGTGTTTGTAAAGGCTATACACTTTTTGACAAACAATTATATAATATGTTAAGTCTTGTGGGAGAAACATAAAGCGGTCATTATAGCATCAAAAATATTTGTGAATTATTTTGCTTTCAAAAACTTTTTACTAAGCAAAGTATTCTTATCTTCACTATCCTTAACACTATGAAAACCTTAAGTACTCCTTTTGAGGCTGTTTGTTGGAATACTCACCTTGGAATCTCGTATTTGTACTAACAAAAGGGATTCCAGCAAGTGCAAGCCATTACAAATGAGGAACAAAACCCAAAAATATTATGTGTAAATTCTGGAGAGATTACAACTTGAACTGGAAGAGAAACTCTACGTATCAATAAACGCTTTAACAATTTATAAGAACTAACCGGCAACAATTAATTAGTAAAGTTTATAACAATACAGACTCTAATGTTAACATATGTAACCCGAAGCATAAATTTATATAAACACTTTCATATTGAAAAGATTAAAAGGAAAGGGAAATATAAGTAAAGGTTTCAATCCTATTTTTCTTTGATTACTGTGATTCTGTTTTTAATAGTTTGTTGGTTTTAACTCTTTGACAGTTTTCTGCTTCAAGATCTCAGCCATCCATCCCCTTTCACTTACAACATTCATGGAGGCCTCCTTTCATGTACACAACCACACTCTTGAAGACTTTTTACTATCCATAGAGATAGACCAATTATAAGCACTCCTACAAATTGAAAAGTGAACTTTACATTTAAACTGTATTGTTACATTACTTTGGAATAAACATAAAGAAGTATATACTTGTAATGAAAAAATCTTTTTTGTTATGAAACTTTTATTTAAGTGTCATTTATACATATTATCTCCAGTTTCTCGTTTTTTCTTTTCACTAGAAAGGAATAAGATCTCACAGTTTTTGATGGAAGTTTCAATAAGAGGTTTTGAGAGATCTCTTAGAGGATTCATCAGAACTGTAATAATAAATAACTCAGAGAACTTTGTACATGTAGAAACAGTTTGACAACTTTTGGAAATTTCTAAATTTTGCACAAACAGAGCATGATGGGGACTTGAATTCCTCTTTTGAGGTAGTATGTTTTCACTTACACACACACAATCATACACAGCTTTCCTGATGGCCATCATCATTCATTTAAGCACTTCTATGAGCTCTCCTTTCATCCTATTATAGCAGTAATTTTTATAAAACATAAATATTCTTTTTGTTTCACATAAATGTGGATGTTTTTATAACTTCAAAGTAAAATGCACCTTTATCAATCATAATATCAACTTCAATATTGTCAATGATCATGTAATATATCACTAGGGCGCCATTTTGAGATACCGCGTTCCCGCCTTTTCGTGAGGGGTGGGAAACGCCGCCATCTTGTAAGATACAGGCACTGCCCTGTGGGGGAACAGGACAGCAGCCCTTTTGATTTTCCTGACTTTGCCCTTGTCCCGTCGCCAACACCACGCTTCGACCGCTTTGCTCTCCCTGTCTTTTAGTAATTCTTAATATTTTAAAAATTGATTTCCGTGCAACTAGTGCGTCAACTGCCTGCTTATCTCCTGCGAAGTTAGCGTTTGCTATTGCCGATCCTATTTTTGCCCTTTTGAGATATGGTAAGAGTTCTGGGATCGGGTCTGAATTTTTATGAATTTTATGAAAAATTATGAATTTTGTTAGTGCTTTTAGGGATTTTGTGTCCAAAGAATGTCCATGGCCTTTAATTAGGGCTTAATTAAGACTCCTGCCTTAATTAAGGGTAGGGTAGGGAAGGCTCTGGAACAAGAGGCAGAGCTTAACTATATGAGGCAGAAATGCCCACATAAGGCTGGGACTGCAGTGCAGCACCACTGGCCATTAGAGATGCAGGATTCAAGGGTGCAAGGAAAACAAGGGAAAATGGGGGTACAATGAAGGGAAATAATACATAATGCAATAACATAACACAAAACTTAAAACAAGTTTTCTCGAAAAACCGGCTCCCAGCAGTGGACTGTGTACAACTAATGCTGAAGTGTTCAAGGGCAGGTTGGACGGCATTCTGAGTGACCTGATCTAATGAAGAGTGTCCCTTTTGGCAGGGGCATTGGAACTAGATGAGCTTTCAGGTCCCTTCCAACCCAGGCCATTCTCTTATTCTTTGCCTATATTGTATTTGTATGTGTGTGTATATGCATGCGATCTTCTGAAAATTTCTAAAGTGAGCTCTAAAGTAAATCTAAACTTTGAGGTTTCTGTGGGGGGTTTTTCTTTTTTCCTTTTTTTCCATATCTGAACTGTTTGTGGAAAAGGGATACAACGCATGTATAAAAAACTATAAAGAACTGTTAACCGATGGGTGATAAGTTGCGTTGGTTTTGGATATCCTTCTATTGAATCTGGCAGATTAAAGGATGGGAGAGCAGTGGCCATGAATCTGAAAGCACACAGGGATCTAGAAATAAATGTAAATGGAAAGATTATTGGAGAAAGAAAAAGATTGTCATGCATTATGTGTAAGAGATCCTCCTTTAAGCCCAGTCTACAGCTGGTACAGATTTAGAAATGCCTTAGAGCTGTATGTCTGTAGTCCAGCTTGGGTTTTCAGGTTTGAAATGTCTGATAGTCTCTGATTGATAGCAGACAAAACAATATCAGCTGTGTACAGGTTTTCATATCTTATTGTCATTTATTGGGGGGAGGGAAATTTTATTACATTAAAAGAGCAACTTGTGCAAACTCATTGTGAAGCCTGAAGTTAAAATAATTTGTTCTTTCCTTCCTCTCTCCTTTTTCTTTTCCTCCAGGATCCCGTCTCCGCCAGGAGGACTTTCCACCGCGGATCGTTGAGCATCCTTCGGATGTGATAGTGTCCAAAGGAGAGCCAACAACCCTGAACTGTAAAGCTGAAGGACGGCCGACTCCCACCATCGAGTGGTACAAGGATGGCGAGCGAGTGGAGACGGACAAGGACGATCCGCGCTCCCACCGCATGCTGCTGCCCAGCGGGTCTTTATTTTTCTTGCGCATCGTGCACGGACGCAGGAGTAAACCTGACGAGGGAAGTTACGTCTGCGTAGCGAGGAACTATCTCGGGGAAGCTGTGAGTCGCAACGCGTCTCTGGAAGTGGCATGTGAGTAGTTTCGTACGATTAGCATTGCGTAAGACTTCGTGGTTGCTGTTGTTCCGTCACCCAGCACTCGCTCTGAGTCAGTGTCCTGGGAGGTAATGAATGTGGATAAATATGATGTTTTGTGAGTAACTGCAGCTCTTAGACAAGGCATTTTTACATGTGTTTATTCAGGAGCAGAGACTGTACAGAAGAGGTGATTTATGCTGAAATGAGGTTCTAGCTGGTGTATAATCATGATTGGCACAAACACAGACATAGGATAATTTTCCTCTGAAGAACAATCTAATTTTTAAATTATGCCTAAAGTTGGTTATACTGGAACTAATGTGGAAAAATACCTATCATTTAATCTAAGGTGCACTGTCTGTTTCTCTTTATCTCATCATCTGTTACCTCAGTAGAAGCAGACAGCTTCTTGGTGACTCATGTTCTGTACTGCTGGAAACCTCAATATATGCTCCTCTATCATGAACTTGATCCAGGCCTCATTCATTATGTCAATGGCAAGTGAAATTGTTGGCCATTTCTCATATCATCCAGAGCAATCCTAGTCTTTATCGATTCTCTTTGTCTCAACAGAGAAGTCGACACGGCTCTTTCAGAGACCACCTGGCATGCTCTGCTTCCAGTAGAGTTAGCAGACACATTCATTATATTCACATAGAAAACAAGCTCATCATACGTAAAATACAATGAGTTGCACATGTTTTTTTGCTGCTTAGTTATATGGGTTGAACAAACGCTGATCTTTTTATTCAGAATGTGTATCTTCACGTGGGGGTGTATTTTAGTAGATTTATGAATGCTCTCTTCTTGCTGGACTTACTCTTTTTTCCTCCCACAGCTCTTCATCTGGCAGTAGTTTCAATAAAATATGTTTGAAGTAGGGCTTGAGCACAAACTTGTTTTGCTTAGTTGATAAAGAATGGATTTAAGTACACACTAGGTGGTATGTTGTTTAAAGGAGAGAAGTACAGAAGAGAAATCTTCATTCCTGATGCCATCTGCAGACTTTTATAGCTAATGTGGTTTGATCTTGAGGCTTCAGTTTCCTCAGAAATTGCAGAAAATGCTGTTTTTAAAATATTTAAATGGTGGAATAAGCTAAGTAGAAAAGAGTTTTACACTGCTTCTCACCTGTTCTAGCCTACATTCATTACTGTGTCAAAAAATGAGAACAGTTTTGGCATACCATCAAAACACAACTAACTGTGCCAGTTTAAGGCATCACAGAACGTTATTCAGTTTTGTAGGTATTTAGGAACTGAGGAGAAGTTTAAGGAAGGCTGAAATCTGGGTGAGTATGACTAGATAAAATTACTGCATTATTTGTGTCTTTGTGCATGAGTTTTAACTGTGTGTTGAGAAATCCTAGGAGAGAGGCATAAACGCTTGAGATCTTTATTGTAATCCTGTAGACATTCAGAAATCTCCAGTGGAAGTTCAGAGGATTGTTCCAGTTGTACTTTGAGTCATCAAATTAGAGTGCCTGATTATTTTGAAATTTAAATGTGCTCTGTATCTTGTCAGCTTTCACTGATCCCTACTTCACTGCCTGCTGAGAGGCTTTTGTTACAACATCCCCGCTCTCTGGAGTTTGTTTAACAACTGTAGCTGGTGGCAGGTCATGCATGAACCATGTGGGGAGACGGTAGAAAACTTTGAATATAATAAAGTTATGCTTCATTGTCAGGTATTTTAGGGCAGGATCAACGTGAAACCTGAGATGTGAAACCATAGCTGAAGTTTTTGCAATAGCAACCTTATTATTTTACTGTTTTCATAGGTTTGAAACATAACCGACTGAATCCCCCAATTAAATGGTTTAGCAGGCTGAAGTAGGCTCTCCTTTTTCACTTCAACAGAGCTTTATCTTCCCTTGGGCCATACTGTGGCTGCAATTACAGAAGAGTTTTCATCAAAGAAAATAATCTAAAAAATATATACATTGCTCGTTCACTTAATTTTAGAGGTCCTGCCGTGGTTTTTACTCACTGACCTTAAAACACGTGGCAGTACTTTGCAGGTATTGAAGGTGTCCTTTGGAGGGTGATAGCAAAACTACCTCTTTTCCCTTGGTTTTGAGTTGCTTTGTAATACAATTTTGGTTGTAAAATCAGATTTTCAAATGACTTTCAGAGAGGAGTTATTTTAAGGCTCTTACTTGTTTTTCTCATGTCAGCATTTCTGGGCTGGAGAAGATGGGCCAGTCTGCATGGCCCATTTGCACGCTCAGGAAATGAGTTGTTGCTGACAGGCTGTTGTCAGCAGTGAGTCCCCACTCACCTGTTCTCAGCTGCTGCTGCAAACTGTTGAGCTGCCTGGAATCTGCAGCCCTGTCCATGGGAGGAGGATGGCTGCATGTGATGGCTCTGACTTGTGCTATCTGTCATGGTGTTGAAAACTGCTCTTTCCACACTGAGCCAAGCTGTTTTCATCACCACCAAAAAAAAAAAAAAAAAAAACCACTGTCCTGTGCTGACAACAGGGTTCTGGATTATTATCTGACTGTAGGTGGCCTAAGGTTGTTGCCATTAGGGACAAACTGCTGCTTTTTACAGCTTTAAAATACTTGAGCCTGCTGCTTTAGAGAGCAAATCTGTAATTGTTTTACTTTGCTTATTAAACTGTCAGTTGCCAATAACAACTTTTGAATGATTCATGAAGAAATATTTATTTGGTTTACATATCTGTTAGATGTGTTCATGCTTATGCATTAAGATGACAAACAGTCTTATTGTGGTTAATTTTCCTCTATTTTTTTTTTTTTTCACACCCTGCGTGGCCCCTGCCACTAAAGCAGTGGGACTGAAAGTCTTCTGACATACCCATACTTGTTTGTAATACAGAAGTGAGATTCAGCTGGGACATACAGTGATTATGATCATAGTGTGGCCCATGTTGAATGCAATAATTTTGCCCGCTGGTTTTTGAGGAGTGAGTTTTTGCAAGTTGCTGAAATCCCAAAGCCCTTTTTGATTGAGTAGAAGTTAACACTTTTCCAAACACAATGAATACCAACCTATCCAAGGGTTTGGAATCGCTGCCTGTTCAGAGCATGTTCGTACAGTCCAGAGCAGATATTTTTGTGCTGATGAACATCCTCAGAAGAATTTGTCTGTGCCAGTGAAACTGAAAAAACTTTATTAATATACAGAATGGGCTTTTAGAATCTTTTTGCTTTCAATTTGGGAACTCCTTATTCCAGAAGACATTTAAGAAGACACAGTTGGTTTTTAGAAGAAGAAGGTGGTGTTTGAAGGCACAGTTTATGATGAATATGACTTATTCTACACAATTCTTTGATATGACTTATTCTATTTAATTCTATCAATGCATTAATTCGTGGTGTGCTGTGAGCAGATTACTTTTTCAGTAGGAACCTTCTCAAAAGGAAAAAAAATAATGCTAATGCCAGCAGCAAACCCAGTCTTCTGATGTGCACGTGGCAAATTCTCATGTAGTATTTCTGCTTTATGGTTAAATCATTAAAATAAATGTTCTAGTCCTAAAGCATCTATGAAGAATTGTATTCAGAATAATTGTATTCAGAAGAGTACAACATCTTTTTTTTTTTTTTTTGGTCTATTAGAGTTATTTCATTGAAATTGAAAAGGGTAATTATCCCTAATAATTCCCAAACATTATTAGGAATATGTTGATGTTCAGATTTTCTTGGGAGGTTTTCAGAAAGGGAAGTAGACTTGAAATGGTTTAATCTTCCATGAAACTGCCTCCATATTTGGGTGCCAGAAGTTTTAAAAGGAAAGTGTAGCTTTTTCACAGTGCACAAACTGACGCGACCGAACCCGCGCGGTGGAGCTTCCCGGCGGGAATATCAGCAAACACACTGGCAGGAGTGCCAGTAGGTAGGATTTCAGCTGCCAGTGCTGGGGCACCACCAGCGAGAGGGAGGAGGAGCAGGAGGGTCCCTGCTCTGACTCAGGGCTGCCTCTGAGCCAGGCTGAGTCAGCGGCTGCCCCTGGGGAGAGCAGCTGCAGCCCCAGGTGTTAAATATGTGACAGCAGCTTGATCTATCGACCACTGTTAGAGGGGGCTTTGGCCTAAATGAAAATTCATGAAAAATTGATGAAGTCCCCAGATTATTTTTTTTCCCCCTCTTCCTTTTGCGGTGCTGTGCCAATGCAGCGAGGAGGGATTAAATGAGGTGTTGAACGCTTTAGTGGCAAGGAGGTTGAGGTTCAGAGGTCAGTGGGGGAGGGGGATAAGACACATTTTCTACCTTACTTCCCTTTAAAAGAAAACGTGAGGCTTTTCAGATTAACTGGGATTTGCTGCCATTTCAATATCATAATAAAACTCAGGAATATTCACAAATAGGATTCTTTTCTGCATGGCTTGGCAGAGGTGAGGAGCATGTGGGTTGGTGTGCAGAAAGCAGTGGAAGGCTCGGAGTCATAATTCAATTGGAGAACCAGAAATAGATTGAATTTTGTAATGGCAGTATAAATTTGGGCTTCCATCTTTCTGAGCCTGTGCTTGAACTGAAGTCATTTGGAGAAAGAAGAGGTCTTGCATTATTTATATACCAAAGATTGCTTGAATAGCAGGCTTTGGAACCCTCTCCAAACATAATGATCCTGCTTATGTTAGATTCAAAACTGAATTATGTTTTTATCTGTAACAAGAGAGGTTATAGTAGTACACAGAGTTTAGTGTGAAGAGTCATAGGTGTATTGCAAAGCAAGAATAAGCCAGATCTTAAACATGGGAGACAGTAATTTTTCCAAATAAACAAGATGTGTTTTAATGTTCAGTGAATGAAGGCTGAGAAGTATAAAATGTATACTCTGCAATCACATCTGTATCATAATGCTAATGACTATTTGCTGCAGCCTGTGCAAAAGGCTGCAGTACATTCATAATAATGGAGTTATTTAATTTGAGATATCCATTGAAAAAAGAGCACAGTGTATGTGACTAAAATGGGTAGACAATTTTTTTGTCTCGCTTCTGTTCAACGTATGACTTAAATAGTA